TAGTTTTCATCTAATGGACGTAAAAAAAGGTCGCATAGATTATTTCAATATTTTTAAAAGTAGACCACATAGGAGACAAGCGTGAAGTTAGTCTTTCCGCGTTTTGTCTCTTGAGTGTTGGATCCCTTATGTTTTGATATGAGTTTCCTTGTTTATAGTTTTAGTTTATTATACAATTGTTGTTATGTATTTAGTGCACAACTTCATTCTTATTAAAATTAAACAAAAAATTACATATGTTTTCCTTAATAAATAATATTAACAAATATATTATCTATATTGCTTTCTATTTTAACAAAATGTTATGAAGAGATAATAAATAAGCAAACCTTCAGCTTCGATTTATGGACGACCTCGTTATTTTGCAAGGAGTCGAAGGCATGCCAAATACAGTTCGTAACATTCTTCAAAAGAGTCGACATTTTAAACACTACCCACAATAATCACATTAATTGGTATCCTTTTTAATCTGTGCACCATAGAACATTGTTTTTGTTTTTTAATTTGGACCAAGGCACACGTCAAGCGGCCGCGCGTTCGAAGTTCACACTGGCAGCTTACGATTGTGATATCAGACGAAAGGAAATGGATGTAACGCAATGCCACATTATGCCAGTCGACATTAATAAAAAAAAAGGAAGACCCGCATGTATTTGTTTTTCATAGCTACAATCAATTTTAAAAATAATTAGCTTTTAAACCAAGTCAGATTTTGGAAATTAATCCAACGATATTAGTATTCTGGAAAAAGATAAACAAGAAGAATTACATACTAGCTGACGCCCGCGACTCCGTCTGCGCGAGATTAAAAAAAATATTAAAGTTCTTTCAGACTATGTTCTACATTTGTGCGAAATTTCAGCGAGATCCATATAGCCGTTCTGGAGATTTCTTATAACAAGCATCCATCCATACATGCGAACATTCGCATTTATAATATTAGTAGTCCTTGCAAGCGGTAGTTCGTCATCAAAACATCGAGATGCGATCAGTTCTCGCAAGTTTTTACCATATCCGTCGGCTGAGTCACCTGCCGGCCGAGTAACTTGAGGCATAGACTACAATTATTTGTGACTAAATCGAGAAGACAGTGGGATTAAATAAGAGTTTTTACAAATTTGTCGGTACACACAACATTAAAGTGCTGCTAAGAAAGTTCAAAGATCTGGGCTGCTTAGAATAACTTAATGTCTTGTCTTCTGAAGCATTACTGATTCATAACATAAACCTTATAACTGCAGTACTATTATGGCATTTCATGAGTTTTTTTTCTATGACTATTTTCTATGTGAGGTGAAAAATTTTTTTTAGGTCCTCCGTAGTTGCGCAGGCCGGATATGCAAATTGCGGCTTCTATTGGAAACCGATGAAGGTTTTGCCGCCATTTTTGTCTGTGATGGCCGCTATCGCACACTTCAAAATAAAGATTCTTTACAAATTGACCTTAGTCCATTCCAAATAAAAATATATTTTCGTAATAAAGCAGATCGGTGTGGGCATTTGATATTTATTAGAGGTTAGAATTATGCAAATAAATAAATCGAAACTAAGTCTTAATAGTCAAGAGATAAATTAAAAAATGGTCGTTTAAAATTTAGTATAAAATTACTGAAATATCTTTTAAAAACAATTTTTTTTATAATTTTCTCTTTAAAGTTTAAAAATGCGGTTGTTTATAGAGGTAATAATGTGTCCTTACATCTGCATATATGGCAAACAACTGTCTTTTGGTAACAACCTTCCGCAGTTCAACAACACGAGAATTATGAATTTAAATTAGCTTTTGTTGACGTGAATACTTTAAAAATCTAAAAGGTCACATATCCGTAAAAGTTCGAATGTTAAAAACATTGCAACACCTTTGGAGTTGCTAACTGCTAAGCCTTATTATTTAAAACTAACTACATTAAATTTTAATAGCCTAATCACCCTTAACTTAGGGTAGGCTCCGAGCCCCTCGGTGGGGACTTATAGTGAGCTGATGACACTAAATTAATTCGTAACGTACCCTGGAAGTACCAGGATCTCAGAAAATAGCATGTGGAATGCTCGCTTCTTTCTTACTTTGGTTTACTAAGGGTTCGTTCGTTAATCACGTGAGGCTCGAAAGAGGGGGACGGGTTCCGGAAAAAATCACAAAACATCACGGGGGAGAAGAGTTAAATAACACACATATTAAATTTTTAACTTTGCTTTGTATTAAAAATAAATATGATTTTAGCTACAGGGGGAGGTAAGTCTGAAACATCACTGTTTCTAAAAATACGTGATTAATAAACGACACTAAATAAACAATTAGAACACGTAATATTGCTAATTTAGGGAATGGTAGTTACAGGGTGATAAATAAAACACACTAATAATCTTTGGTAAGAGTTTATTCATCAATAAGACTACAACTAGACAAAATTACATTTAGAAAACTGACAATATAACAATGACATGAATATTAAACTTACACTAGTTGCAAATTTACTACAAGCATTTATATAATCACTTGAATACACCATCAAAATAATTACAAGAAAAATGAGTATTTATAGTTAAAAAAATGCTTAATAATACGTCATATTTTATATATCGATATCATCTGAGCTTTATAGTCATGTTAAAAATGTTTTTATATAATAAATGTGTAGACTTCGTCCAAAATATATTTACTACTAGATTTTTTTTTTAAATTCTGCTTAGGCTGTAGCCTATGGTTAGTCAATTGTTATGTAGCTAACTAATGGCAAAAGATTTTTTAAATCGGTCCAGTAGTTTAAGAGTTTATTCGTTACAAAAAATTACAAAAATCTTTCCTCTCTATAAGATGATGGGCAAACCATTTATGAGTGCGTTTGTAAGTGTGCGTACGAACTTATTGTTACAGGATGTTCATAAATTAAATATTCAGTATATTAATAAATTTGGTATATTCAAGTGATATTTTATTAAAAGTTGAATAACTACGTTATACCACATATAAAGCATTGAATGAGATTTTTAAATAACATAGTATTAAAATACGATTAAATCTAATTATACGATTGATTTAAAATGGCGTCGGGTTGGCACTCTTCTTAACACACAACATTTTTGTTATTTTTCCATTAACATTTGTTTCTTTTTAAATAACAAAATTCATTAATATCAGCTTATAAACATCGTCACAGTACCTTTATTTCTATTGAATGAATTGTTTATTTTGACAAATTAATACTTATTTTGAAAGATTTAATACAAATTTACGACGAAAGTGACGATGGCAACTTTAGTGTGCAAAGGTTTAACTCTCTTTGTTCAAGTGCGCAATTTTTTACTATAAAGTAAATAAAATAAGTCTCCGCTCTCTAAAAGCATGAGTTTTGTATGAACTCAACTGTCTTATTTCAACTGGCACAGTCATATTTGTTATATATGTAAACTGCTAGTGGAAATGACAAATTAACCTTTCCAAGATTCAAATATACAAGGTTTACTGTATCTCTAATATGCCATTTTAAATTAATCGCATATTTTATAAGTACTTTCCCATCTTCCAAATCACTTCATCATATTCCGATCCATGAGCTAAATACTAAAACACTATTGATCAATTTCTATATCTGTTAAGGAATGTAAAATTATTAAACAAATTAATTATTAACTTATATACAAATAATTATTGCAATAAGAAATAAAAAAAGATAAGTTCATATGTGCACGAAATCATATTAAAAAGTTTACGAGTATATATATTTGATAAAATTACAATAAAGTTAAGGTTACATTTTAAGTTAAAAATTTAATTATGTCCATGTTTATTGATTAAAAAAAACGAGTACTTAAAAAATAATTCATCAATTAACTAAATAAATCCGTTACAAGCTAAAAATATCTATGTTATAAACTAAATATAATAATCTATTTCAGAGATCAATAATATTTAAAATTAGCCTCAACGCACACATTGTATTTATAAAAAATCATAAGTATGTATGGAAAATATTTAAATAAAAAAACACGTACACATATACATAGCAGTATATTTACCAAAGAATATAAATGACAATAAAAACCATAGAATGTAAGAAAAAAAAAAGAAAAAGAACATACAAATTGTATGTGGCCGGATATTACTTGAAATTAAAAAAAAAAAAAAGATAAAATTGAATCGTATAGTCTGTCAAGAACTATGTATCAAAACATAAATACAATAAATAGATATAAAGAGATAAAAGTATATTTGGTCACTAATTGTCATTGATACGATTTTGTAAAAAAAAAACACGCTGTATCTTGTTTTTTTCTAAGATGTATCTTATCAAATAAACTAACGTCGAACCGATATCTAAATGTCATACTTAAATACAAAACACAACCATTGTACTAAATAGTTTAACAGCTCGGATTGTCTTCAGTGTTACCAGACACGTCCAAACAAATGCAATTCACACAGATAAAAAAATTAATCAAACACAAATAATTTACAAATATAACCTCTGAATAACAAATATATTTATAAAAATAAATTAATTAACAAAAACTTTAATCTAAATCAATGTCGCATAAAGTGATAATAATAAAAAATACGGAAATTGCCAGATTACAAAAATTACGGTCAACAAAACAAGCCCTTCCTACAATTTACCCGATGATTGGTTCACTTGCCATTTAAAATTACTTTTAAATTTAAATTAGGAAAAAGCGACATCTATAATGCAATTACTAAATTTTAAATTTCACAAGCAACATTCAAACTCTAACGACAAATATGTAATTTGAAAAAGTGACTTGAAATGTCACATAAGATAGACACGTAATAAATATGACACATAGAATTATTCAAACTTTCGTGAGACATTATAATAAACTTATATAAAAACGGCTAAACACTCACGTATATTTGTCCGGTGGCGGCACCGACTAGTTTCGAGCCCATCGGGGGCCCTTTATCAAGGTGAGTGGGACTGGTATTATTTCGCGGACGCGGCCCGTCGCCCAGTGAGCCCGACTAGTTTCGAGCCCATCGGGCCAGTCGGTGCCGCCAGCGGACGTATATACGTGAGTGTTTAGCCGTTTTTATATAAGTTTATGACACATATATTATGGTAATATGGGGGACACTAGGGGGTTGACTAGGCTGCTTCACAGAAAGTGCCTTAACCTATTAAAAACATTGAACGACGATTAAATATTTTTGTGACGCTCTAACACGTTTACGTATTTACTACAAGTCCTATGTGACAAAGAAAAATTTTCGTGATTTTCCATTCCCGAAACAAACACAATTTTATGTTAGTTTTTCAGAAATAAGAGATATATGTTTTTGTTTGAATGCTTCGGCAATAGACAACCACATACATGGTGTCCAAACTTCTAAACAAAAATTACCAATTTTAGTATATTTATGAAAGAAATTAGTTTTTTTTTGTTGTAATTTATTCCGGATAGAATTTGTTCACGGATCTGTTTAGAAGTTTGGATCATAAATGTTTTTAATAACATCAAAATTTTCATGTAATACCAATTCGCATTAATTCCGTCGAACCGCCGAAGTATGTGTGTTGCCATAACCGAAAAATATTGTTAAATGCAAAAGATTTTAATTGGTTGATATTTTGAAGAAATAATTACAAGACTGAAGATTTCCTATTTCAGTTATCATTAAAGAAATTGAAAATATATAAGCTAATCTTTTTTTTTTTCATTTTTTTATTTTTTTTTAAATTGACGAACTCTATAAATTGTAGCGTTCGAAAATGAGATTATTAGTGTAAATAGGATTAATTTGGGACAAGAAAGTACTTATAAATTATTGTGCATAATTCGCCTAATACATTTCAGATAACCTATTTTTACATTTTTTTTGTAAAAAAATAAAAAAATAATTATGTAAACTATTTTATTTTGCCCTGTTTTTTGTAGTTTGTACAATGTTTTTATTCAAAATAATAATGAGACGTGTCACAACCGAGTGCACCATATAACTTATGATAACGTCTTTAAAAACATATTATAATTCGTTGGACAAAAATAGGAATTATCCGAACAGTATGGACAAACGATATGATCGATTGGAAGAAATTTAATTATTTTTACATTTGATAAGTGAAGTATGGTAAATCATCAGTCTCGTAATAATCGATGTACACCGACTAAAGTCGGCGAATCGGTTGCAATAGGACCCTGTATCCATCTGTAATGGCACAATTTTAAATCGGCAACCACGTCCGTTGTCAATGCGGTATGGCAACACAGAGCCACATACTCCGACTGACGTTCCTGTCAAACCACGAACAAAAACGCTCCTTAAACCTTCAAGAATACAGTTCAGTTTCCTTTGACAAATGCTTTCGTAATTTCGAAATGAATCGAGACAGATATAGAAATAAAGAGAAACGTTCGCGGTATAAGAGAGAATGTTAAGTTTTGTTAAATTGAGCGTTATTCCGGTAAGGTTAGGGTTCAGTTTGGGTGTTCCGGGTCGTCGGTGGTGCGGGGGCGGCTAGGCGGCGGAAAGGGGAGGCTCCGGTGGATCGTGTCACCGCGGACCCACCGCGCCGCGCCCACGACGCCCAGGCTTGCCGCGACGATTGAAGCCCCTTTTAGTCACAATAGACAATTTTATAACACACTGTTGCGAGTCGTTAAATTGTCATTAAAAGATCACTTTTTTGGTATCTTGGATATTATACTAAGACTTCTGGCGGTAAGACAGAGTTATGTGGGGTTTGATCCACTAAAACCCCCTAAGTGACCAATCTAGAGCGCAATTTATTCCGGGATCTCCGAGGAACACACCGGAAGATTAAAAGACACCTAAAAGAGGAATCGGAACTAACCGACTTCTAATTTAAACTGTAATGCACTGATTTGGTAAAAATGTATACACTGTGGTTGTTTATTTTGTATGGTTGCGTGTATGTTTGTATGTAGTTACCTGTACGGGCCGCGATAAGCCTGGCGCTGTGGCGAGCCGGGCTCGTTGCAATCGTTAGAAGCGTTGCCGGGCTGATCGTTGGCGGCCTCGGACTTAGCAGTTTCTTGCGCAGCTTGAGATGGTCCGTTATTGGCAACCTAAAAAAAAGTTATTATGTGATGATCCAGCCACGTTTATAGTTATTGCTTTAAGATATTGTTAAACTCTTTGCAAATCTTACTAATATTATAATTGCGAACGTTTGGATGTAAGGAGAGATAGATGTTTGTTAGAAGATATCTCTAGAACGGCTGCATGGATCTTGCTGAAATTTGGTATAGATGAAGAACGTAGTCTGGACTGGACTCCGGACATAGACTACTATTTTCGAGCAGACGGAGTCACGGGCGGCAGCTAGTTATTAAATAGATATTTCTACGTTTTTCTTACCGCATCGGCAGCCGTGGTGATGGTGAGCGGACGCGGTCCCAAGTTACCGGAGCCAACCACACCTCCCCTGGCCATTTGACGAGCCAACAAAAGCGACATCTTCCTCTGCATAGCCTGGGAATTCAATAGTTAAATAATTAAAAAAACCCGACTAACTGAAGCTCTACTCTGCATTTACTTTTTCATTTTAGAACATACTCAAAAACATCGAAAACAGTTTTAGCAATGAAAAAAACTTATGACGAATGAGGCTTAAACTCGTTAATTTCACAATTTTTTTTTATTTTATTTCACATTTCCATTATATTTTTTGTTTTGAATGAATGAAGGACTTGTCGATCGACTCTTTGTCAGTCGGGTCAAAAGGCCTGTAGGTACAATTACGTAAATTATTCAAATTTTAATATTGCGCGAAAGTATACCAGCATCTCAGGAGTGACGCGGAATGGCGGAGCGTTGATAGACTTGACCGGCGGGGGCGCCTTCTTCAGCGACTCCACGTCAGTGGTCACCACGCAGCGGCACACCGGGCAGAATGGCTGACAAACAAAACGAAAATCTTTCAATAATGCCACACTCAGATTTATAAATTGGACAGAGACTCTTAGTATAGATATATATGACACTAAATCAACAATAAGGAGGACTACTTAACTTCTCTGAGTTAAGAGTCATGAAGAATACGACTGACCACTGGCGAAATTCTTTTTCACATATTTAAAACATTTTTTTTGACATATTTTCGCATTATATTTATTTCATAAAGGAGATGTTACATTAAATTGTAAACTAAATAAAATTTGTAAATGTTCCTATTTTTGCTCTCAAAGTCTTTGTTTCGGTAAAGTAGGTCAGTTGATATTAAATGGGTCACTTGACATGCGCATTATAAGTTGCCGATCCCAGATCTAATAGACAAATAAATACAATTAAAAGAAACAAAATTACTGATTTTTATCTGACTAGAAATAATCAATTATTTCAAAAGGACCAGCCATTAGTCTAAGACAGCTTTTTTTCTATTTACCTGGTATGGTGGCGCCTGTACTTGCTGCCAGTTGGGGAGCTTGTCCATCTCTTCTTGATAGTACTTCTTGCCAAGGATGAGGTGGTTGGCGAGGCAATGGCTGTGGAAGTGATGGTAGCATTGCGTCTTGATAAAGACGTCCCCTTCCGCGAAGCCGAACAGGCAGATCACGCATTGACCGCTCGGCAGATTGCACGCTGTCAGATTCTCGCGTATAAGCTGTGAATAAATATCGAGTCAAAACTTGGGCGTGTTTTATTTAGAAAGTATTGATTAGGCGCGACTTCGTCAGCGCAGAAGAAAGTAGCGTAAAATTTGCTCTCATGCATCAGCTGCCATCCAGTCAAAATCGGTTCCACCGTTTTGAAGGAAGACTAAAGAAAAAAAAAAATATTCAAATAACATTAAGCATTTGTAGCCAGAAAATCTCTCAGAATGTTAGGACATTGCTGCAGCAAAAAGAATATGACTCCAATCAAGGAGTGATTGTCATATCTTGACCCATCAAATAAAAATCACATGTATGGAAACTTAATCAATGAGAAAATGAAATACAAACATAATTCTAAATACCCGCCTAATATACCAAAAATATCTTTGACATTATCGGAAAACTAAAAGCTAATAATTACAAATTACTTACACATTTGGTTTGGTGAATGTTGAAAAACCTTGTTCTGATCTTACCTCCTCCATTTGTAACTGCTATTTTATTAGTTAAATACTACATTAAGTTTTACATATGTTAATTAGTGGTTAATAACCGACCATGTTCATTATTTAGTAAAATCCCTCCACTTTATCAAAATTATAATATTTGTAATCCTTCAATGAAATACAGTCAAACCTAGATCAGCAAGAGTCCAAGAGACGGCAATATTATATTTACAAGATTCTCTTTAAAGCGAGTTTCTCGCTTTTGGAGGTTGTCCATAATAACTCTTGCTATCAAGGTTTCTCACTTATCATGGTTCAACTGTATTTAGTAAGCTAAAGCATATTTAATTCACAAAACTGTAGATTAAACGCACACCAGACTGTTGAACAGACTCCAACAGTCAACTCTAGCATCACTGTTTATGCTTAAATGAAACACAGACATCTTTATTTCATTGTTATAAAAAAAAATCACCAAATAAAATGTATAATAGTGCTGTTTATAAAAACATGGAGTTATTTTATTTAGAAAGCAAAATAGAGATTGTATATTTACCACCATTATTTAAATACCGAAATATTTTAGAAATAAGATAAAGTCTTTATCAAAGATTAAGTTGAAAAATAATTTTGTCCTAGCTTAAATTAAATTATTTCTAGCCTAATTAAAATCATTCATTTGCAATACATTTTACATAACCAATTGGATTACAATAGGAATTGCATAAAATAGTGAATAATGATTATACATTTAAAATTTGCAGTTAAATAAATTCATGTTATTAAATATATACTTCATTAAAAGTTAACTTGTTGCATAATAATGATTTAAGTGCTAAGGTTGTGTAAGCTTTGACCTAGTTAGCTAAATTTGTTTTTTTTTTAAACTGTTAACCATATGGATGATGATAAAATACTAAAATAGTAATATGAAAATCATTACAAATATAAAAGATGAGATGTAAAACTAAAGAGATGTAAAAAAAATCAATGTTCACTTTCTTTCAAAATACAACGCAATTTACTTACATCAATAAGTTCGAAGACAACAGGCTGACCCAGGCAATCTGCTAATTTAATCTTGATTTGTGAGTGAATGCTGGCTATAATTTCGTCGTCTAATCCTCTAGGATTCCTAAGGACTATATCAGGACTTGCATCTGGATAGTTCGGGGTCAATCGAACCTCTAATGTCACGCATACATATTGCTGATCAATATCTTCCCCAGTCAACGGATTGACGACAGTTTCAATAACAGTGGGCACATTACCGACTCTCCTTATGGTGACATCGTCCATTAAAATTGCCACCAAGGCTTCCACTTCATCGGTTACCCTAAAAGCAATCATTAATGTAGACACAATACACTACACTTGTAAAAATTTTACATTTTAGACCACACCTTTCATCCACATAAGACGTCATGTTGCCGTAGGAGTACAGATCGAACTGAAATCTAGCTAGATCTGGGATAATTTATTTTACAAGTGCATATAGAGTTCAGGCAGGCGCAATGCAGACGGTGCAACGAACGTATACAGAAAAGTATACAGCGCAGCCAGCCGGTTTTCTACAATGAAACACGGACAAAATCAATCAAGCTGACTGTCCTGCCAGAGAGAATTGTAGAGTATATTTGTGCACAGATTACAAATTATGCCCGGGAATAGACACGAAATAAGTAAAAAAAAATCCGTTGGTTAAAAAGGTAACAATATTTATAATAGTTACAAGTCATCCGCTAATTATCGTGAGAAATAATCAAAAAAGATATTTATACGCCCAGATTATGTGTCATAAAAAGGTTATGGTGGGTTGAAATCTCACACAACACTCAATATACTCTTTGGCCGCTGCGCAATGCGCAACGCAGGACAGGATTGGACATTATGTATTTTATATCGGCATACTATTTTATTTTATGTCTTTAGTGCATTCCCTTCCCTTAATGTACCCTACTGATTTTGACCACAATTATTTTGAGAATCTAACTATGTAGGGTGACCTTTACAGGCACTATAGAATAGTTCCTTATATAAAATTTGCATTGATCCCGGCAAGGAGCAAACTCAAGGATCTTACGAAGACCTATCGAACACTTGTTGTGTATATGTACTGTATTATTTAATCTTTTTCCTACTACACATCTATTGGTTGTTGTTTGTACGTTATATAAAAGGCGTACCAACGGTTAAATATATAAATCTAGAGACGTATAGTTCATGTCGTTCCATTTTATTTGTATTAAAGTGCACATGTGTATGAATATTGTCATAGTTTGATAAACAACGGCCAACGCCCTTTACTATCGTCATTAGTAATAACTTGAAAAACTGTGTGAGCCCTAATTGAACTGGTTTCATTTTCCTGTTCATGTACGAGGTATCCTTAAAAGAGGAAAAGAAATTTTTTATTAAGTAAGACTAAAATAGACTCTTTAAAAAAATAGAAACAAAAATATAGTTTTAAAATAAAATAAAAGGTTACTAAGATTGCGCCCATATTATTTGAACAATTTGGTGCGGATGGTGGTAAGTCGCTGCATGCGGAGTTCGGTGGACGGTATTCTTAAGGGATTGGGGAAGGCCTATTGTCCAGCAAAAGACTGATACAGGCAAAGGATATAAAATTAAAAAGCGACAAAAACTTGTTTTAACATATTAGAAATATTGTAATCTAAAAATTATAGTAATAGTTGTGATGCTTTTATTTCCAACTCCTTTGTGGGTTGAAGCTAACTTTCGTGTCGTCTGCGCTTAGAGTGGAGTCCATGGTGATACTGCTGTTCTGATTTCGCGAGAGCGCCCCCGAAGCCGTCCCCTTGCTACTCCAGCGGTCACTGATCCTGTAAAAATGATATTATTCAATTAATAACAAAGTGCATCACCCGGTAAATCACCCTTAACTTAGGGTAGGCTCCGAGCCCCTCGGTGGGGACGTATAGTGAGCTGATGATAATAATAATAAAAAAACAAAGTGCATATACTTCAGTGAGTAGGAATGTGGCAAATACTGTCTCCTTTACCCCAATTATTTCCTAAGTGTATTGTTATGGCCGTTTTATAGTAAATAGTGTTTTCTATTTACTGCTCTAGTATATTTTACATTTTATTTGATGGTGTGATATGTCGTGATATTGTCGTATTCATGGAATAATTTAACTTGTATGTTTTCGGTATGTTGATACTAAAAATAAAACTTACATCCTACGCAGCTGGTTGTTGACTTTGGCTTTGCACACAAAGATAATAAAAATGGCCAAACCGATCATTAAATTGTATGCATCGGTGATGTACCAAAACTGCAACTGCGGCTTCAGAGAACTCACCACCTCCAATATCCAGTTAATTCCCATGATCACTGACAGCTTTAAGTATACGGAAAATCTGTGAACAATATGCGAGTAAATAACATCTTTCTTTTATAAAATAATGGGGCAAACGAGCAGCGGCGCGAAAACGACGCCCATGGACATCTGTATTACCAGAGGAACTGCAGATGCGTTGAGGGCCTACTGAATTCACTCTCTAACTATGAAAAGTCCTATAGAATTTCTTATTTATATTAATTGAAAAGTCGACCTTACTGTATTATGGGCTCGGTGAATTATTGATACTTATATTTTGTTACAATAAAGATTAACAAAAAGTAAAATTTCTCCGTCGCTGTTTCATTTTCCTCTGTTTAAAAGGTAATGTCAGGATAAATCAATTTCCATAGATTAGTAGATTTATTTATAACAATCGTTTGACGTAGTATCCTTACCTGTGTCGTTGGAAGCGATGCGCGGAGGGCATGCCAGCCGCGGCTGAGTTTAGGACGGCGTTACCGCGACTCAGTCGCCAGATGTTAAATGTCGTCATCAAGAAGAATACCCAGTTACTAGTGATTAGTAGGAGCATCGGTACATAAAGATATAACAGCTTTTCACCCCCTAAAATATTAAACAACAATAAATGATAGCAGGCCAATATTCTGATGCCGATTTTGTTAGATTGACGAAATCTTACCTTCTAAGAAACAGCCACTTCTAGGAATCTTTGGTGTTATCAACCAGGGAAGGCCAGAAACATCGATTTCATTAAGAATGGCGCATGCTATCGTCATAAGTAGCGGCAAACCCCAGCCGTAAATGCTATACATACAGAATTTGAAGTTTTCACCTCGTCGATGAATCGGACGGGCTTTTGCATAACCTCTGTAAAATATACATTATAATAAGTTACGATGTTTGGACTTATTGAATTAAAATTTATGGAAAATAAAATATTTTCTCCAAGATATTAAGACTCCTTGCCTGAAAGTCCACCAAATGTCAATAGACATCACATTCATCCAGCAGAAGCTCGATAAGAAGAAGAAATACGTAGAAAAGGCTGTAACAATAAATACTATTATATTAAGTCAAGGAATAGAAGGAATAACCAAACTCAGGATAAGCACGCAGTACCGGAGTTAGGGTTGGTGCGTTTGGGCGACCGCTCAGGGCGCTGGACAGAAAGGAGTGCCACAGGTCTGGGAATTACACAGTTTCACATAGCCATATGACATGGTAAAAAGGCGGCGCCGTAACAATTTAGCCTAAGGTCGATTAACATTAACAATGGCAATGCACACACGAGTATGTTGGTACATTTTATGTGGATGGTTGGAACTGGCATAAATTAAGAGTTATTATTATTAAAAGGTTCTTACTTAAGCCAATACAAGACGCAACTGTGTGGTCCTCGATCTGTATGATGGAGAGCAACAAGAATGCTCCCAGCAAACTCCCAACATATGCCATCAGCACTTTGCCGGCAAGATTCCTCAATGAAGGCAGTAGTGAATACACGATTAATGTTAGAGCCAGAAACACGCAAGAGATCAGCAGTGCTGTTAAGAAAAAAAAACATAAATATAAGTAGCCATAAAATGCAAAAGTAATTCATTAAATTTAGACAGGATCGACTAATAAAAGAGCTCAAGATTTGTTAAAGACGAAAACTTAAGGCTTAAATTAATCTTAAACTATTGTGTAACTAAGTTCTAATTCATTCCAAGTGCTCGATTGTTGAATGCTAAGTTCTAAAAAGAGACCATCATTTAAGAGTGTCGGGGCTCAGAGCCTAAGCATTTGGCCTGTAAACTACTGGACCTGGGTTCGAATCGCGTCGTGTACCAATTTGTTTTTCGATTTACAAATGTACATTTATCAGATGTTCTGACAGTGAAGGAACACATCGTGATGCAACCTGCACATATTTGCGAATAAATTCAAGGATATGGGTGAAGTCAACCAAACCGCACTGGGCCATCTTGGTTGACAATGGCTTATTCACCTTCAAAGTTTCAAATTAAAAGTTGTTGAAGGTAATATGTTGGATCATATACACACACTATTTTTTTCCTTACCAGTAGTGAAGAACGCATTACTCTCTGGCATATATTCAGGGTCAAGGACTATAAAGAATCTAGTGCTTATATCACTGATGTTCTCCTTCCGCACATACTGAACGTATTCAACGCAAAAATGTTTGGTATCCAAAGCTATCCATCTTCTAAATGAGTTTGGAATTTCCAAATACACTATTCCATCCTGAAATTTACAGAACAATTGAATCTAATCTTGAAAGCTATTTAATCTTACTTTTTATTAATGTTACAAATTTCATGTTTAGATATATTGATAAATGTAAGAAGGTATCTCCAGAACAGCAGCTTGGATCTAGCTTGAAAATTGCCAAAGGTGTAGAATACAGCCTGGAAGAACACATAGGCAACTAATTTTTTTTTTATTCCGCGCGGACTGAGTCGCGGTCGACAGCTATTGTTTGTATGAATTTTTAAATTAATATCTCGATATTTCTTTTTGGAACCTTGAAGATTATTAGACGGCGTTATTCGTAAACAAACCAATATATCGTTATGTTAAACTTGTAGGTACGGAGAAGTACTATTTAGTGAGGTATTCGTTCGATTCATTCGATCTCATTCGAAACCAAAACCATGTGTTTAACTGGAACAACAGCCTGATGAAAATAACTAAATATAATAAACGATAATGAAACACAAACAAGGAAAAATATGCAAACATCAATCAAACGTATTAAGAGGAAATTAGTGGTTAATTAACGTACATATAGGAGTGATAAAAATATACCCAAGAAAACTTATTGTTATTGTAAATAATTATAATTTACTAGCTGTCGCCCGCGACTCCGTCCGCGTGGATATATAAAAAAAACTTAATTAGTGTAGCCCATGTATTCTTTCAGACTATGTTCTATACGTATGCCAAATTTAATCGAGATCCGTTCAGCCGTTCTAGAGATATCTTCAAACACCCATCCATCCATCTAAACATTAGCATTTATAATATTTGTAAGTTAAATAAAAAGCATGTCTTTAAGGCATAAATTCGAAAAAAAAAAGAATAAATATTATCCTATGTCCGTCGCCTGGCTCCAAGCTACCTCCTCACCAATTTTCAGCCATATCGGTAAAGCCGTTCTTGAGTTACAAATAGTGTAACTAACGCGACTTTCTTTTATATATCTAGATTTACTTCTATTGAAATAAAAATGTATTAATTTAATTTATTATAACTAGTAATTATCTCAACAAACGTGTCAATGCTACGTCAAATGTACTCACATTCTAAATAACATAAAAAAATTGAGCAACATAAACCTACGGGGATATAAGTAAATAGTTAAAAGATCCTGAATCTATAACCGAAAACCCATTTTTGGACATTTAATAAAATTATTAATGTCTAAGCAAAATATTCAATTTTAGTTCTTAATTTTTTTTTAGAGAATTTTCACAGGTTTTATTATAGTGGTATTTTAGAATCTTGATGAGTTGCGTGTACTTTTTTAATTTAGTGCCATGGTACTCTTCATTCATTTTTTTTACACAGTAGCATGTCAAAGTTGCTCAAAAGTTAAAATGTTCTAAAATTTCAAGAAAACAATAAAGTTAATTTTCCAATTTTTTAGCTATGTTACTTAGGTAGCTAATACAAAAAAAATTGCAGGAATATCTTCATATTTGTAGCCACAGTGTCTAATCATATGGTGGAGGGTATCAAATTATAAGAAAAGTTACAAAAGTTAATGTAACTTTTAAACAAAAAGAGATGTTTTTTTTAGTATTCTTCCCGGTGCAGTTATCGAGCTGGCTAAACACCATTTCCGTTTTATCGTTGAATTTTGGGACATCCTGTATATCCACGCGGACGGAGTTGCGGGCGATTGCTACTTTATAATATTAGTAAGAAGTAATCATTGAAACATGTGTCAGAATAGTTTACATAAAACCCTTCGTCACGATCAAGTGAACGAAGTTCGGGCTGCAACTAGACAATATTTATAGTAAAGAACTGTTAAAATATCGATAGAATAAAATCCTCCTTACCACTGTCAAATAAGTGTTTAATCCCGATGGCTTAAAATCCAGTGCATTTTCCATAAAAGTACTGTTCGTAAACATACCCGGTGTCAAATGATAAATATCTCTTAAAGATTTTCCGATTTCATATATGTCATCATTGTAGACTGTCACATTGTGGAAATCAAAGGTACCCGTGTAAGGGACGCAGGCTCTTGTTACGTTGACTAGTAGATAGTCGGTCGCGTTACAACATTTCGGTATGCACTTGAATTTTTCACAGTCTTTATTATTTCTTACTATGACGTCAGATGAACCTTCTATACTATATATTATTGTAACACAAAAAACAAAAGACAAAATCTGTACAAAAACAGACAGTCCCATGTTTGTGTCGCTCCTGTTCTGTTGCACGTTTAAGCTTAGAATAAGTTACGCACATCGTTACTTTGTTGAATTGTATCCCTACACTCAATTGCAATAAAACTGATACATGTTACCATTTAATTAATTTAATTTAATTAATTAATTCTATAATATTATTTTATTGGTGGTTGTTTACCAGATTATTGTGTTGATGGAAAATTAATATACGTAAAGTGTTTATAGGCAATTATTTGATTTTCAATTACTTTCAAAAAAATGTAATTTAATTGTCAAATGTTTGATTACGAACTTCTTAGTGGTGTTATCAATAAACTCACTTAGTGCTTAGTAATCAGAGATATCACATGTTTTTTAATTTGCCAACATTTTTGATTCTTCATCCAGGCTAATTACTAGTAGTTGGTACTCCTTTTTTTTGCAATTTAGTGTTTCATGTTTTCCATAGGTATATATGGACATTGTCATAGTTTGATAAACGATGTTGGTACTTTACAAGCCCATAAGTTCATAATGCACAGAGCTATAAGGAAGTATTTTATTGAGTTCATGTAAATATGTATCGAATTTATGTTTCCACTATGAATGTGAATAACCTTTTATAGTTTACATTTTTAATTTTTTAAATAAGGATGTTGTTCAATAAATAGCCATTAAATATTACATGTATTTTGAGGTATTCTAACGCATGGAAAATTATTTCGATGTTTTAAATGTCTGTAATTCGTGAAATATGACAAACAAAGAAAAGCGTTTTTATTTTACTAATTGACATTAAAAAAATCTAATTTTTCCCTCGAATCCGACGAGATTTCAATTCATTTAAATATTACTTGTTGAAATATGTTCTATTAAAAGAGCAAATAAGGCAAATTACGCATAGTTCAAAGTGTATGACGTTTGTAGAGCACCGCATGACTCAAACTTGAGGTAAACACTTCGCAGCAGCCCTGATTATCTGCAAGTCCTTTGTTTCTAATGAAAAACGTTTTATTTACAGCGTACAAATTATCTTACTAAAGAAGACGTAAACTAAAATTGAAGAGGAAGAAAACTCGAGCGGTAGAATTTAGGTAAAAATTTGGAAATTAAAATAATAAAGTTAAAATGAAAATGAGATTTGCACGCACTATCGGAAGATTTTTTTACAACGGACATTTCAGAAACGTAAAAAAGAAGAAAAATATGACATTCCTATGAAAATGTAAAAATTAAAAGTAAAAAACGTCTAAAAAGATCCGTTTGTATCGACAACAATTGTTAATTTTTAATAAATGCGAATGTTTGGATGGATTGATGGATAGATGTTTGTTTGAAGGTATCTGGAGAACAGCCAGGATCTCGCTAAAATTTGGCAGATATGTAAGTACATAATACTGTAAAGTATTCTTCTAGTAATAAGTAATAATACTAGAAGAATACTTAGGCTACCAATTATTATTAATTCCGCGCGGAGTCGCAGGTGACAGCTAGTTGAATAAATAATATAATAAACAGTGTGAGCGACGGGCCGCGTCCGCGAAATAATACCACTGCCACTCATCCTGATGAAGGGCCCCCGATGGGCTCGAAACTAGTCGGTGCCGCCACCGGACGTATATACGTGAGTGTTGAGCCGTGTTTATATATCAGTTTAATATAATGTCTCACGAAAGTTTGAATAATTTAATATAATAAGCACACCCAAAAAAGTGGATACAATTAAAAGAAAGCATTAGAACAGTCATACTTATAGTAAATACGCATCAATTAAGTATTTTAGACATTATTAGTTATAATCCTATGGCGCGTTTTCGTTACAAAGTCATGTGTGAGAATGATTAGTGAGGGGACATAATCGTCGACATTTTAGTAAGGCTAGGGTTGCGCCAGCACACCGGCATAGTATCGAATTTTCTTCCTAACAGTATAAAGCTCTTTACACCGCTTTTATTATTTTTAATGATTAAAGAGCAAACGAGTAGCTAAAGCCTAAATACTATGTGATCATCGACGCTTATGCAGCGAAAAATATTAGCCATGGTCAGTTGGTCATTAATCATATTGCTATGTAAAATTGGTTTATCTCTGTAGAAACTATAAATACATAATACAACAGGACAACATGTTATGTTAACCGTATGACACCAGTGAAAACGTATGTACTGTGTGGAAACCATGACAAGGCCTGTTGAAGGACTAAAGTTTCGTAACAAAAATTTTGCTATTCATTTATAAAAGGCGTGTTATTATACTGGCTCTAAAATTCGCTTTAAAAATGTTAAATATTAAAAAAATTGATAAATAAATGTATAAGAATGTTAATACACGAATTTTTGTGTTAAAATATTTCTATACTGTTTAATTTGTTTCATTTAATAAACATCGATCAACTGCTGGACTAATATCAATAACTGCACGATTCTAGCAATCTTAACCCAACGATTTTAGTCTATGAAGAAAAAAAAGGTAATAAAAGTTAATTGCAATTGGAGAATTTGAAAAAGGAGGGGTAAAACCAAACAATGGTATTTATTACATAAAATGAAATTGTGACCCATGTCGAATATTCGCGTAGCAAACCATGAGAACTTGATTTAAGTATGTCGGAAATAATAAATAATTGAAATAAAAAAAAAACAATTAATTCATAAAATCATTTATTAAAAGGCTTTACTTCTAAATACATATAATATTAAAAACTTACATAATAATACAAAGAAATAAAATGCATTGTAATATTTCTATTAAGTATGTAGACGAGACGATATATTACTAACTGTGAATTCCTGAGACAAAAATCTACGTTTTAAACATATTGTTATCTCTGTTCAAAAATAAATTATAAACGATGTTATACAGAGATTTGATCTCAGAAACTCACGGTAAAACGACTAGATTATTTTATTATATTGACAATATTTATTGAAGTGCAATAATAATGGTCCCAAGACGCAGTTTCAGAAATGCAAATATTATTATCTATATTTAAATCTACTTCTCATTTAGCTGAAATTAATATAAAACAAGACAGGCTATCTATAAACGATTTTCTTTAAACTTTTAAAAATAAAAATCGTATAATACATATTTAAAAATTTGCTGCTCTAAAATCTATAATACACGTAAAATGCTATATTTAAAAAAAAAACGATAAAATGCTTTATTACAATATTAAAATAGAGGAGAGATAATTAAAAATGCGAATCTTAATTTAATTTCAGTTGGTGTTACGATTAATAGTCGATATACAGACTGTTCGGAAATAACAGATAAAAATATGCAATTATTAAAAATGTGCTATTATAAGTAGATCTATAATTAGTGTTATTTGAAAAAAAAAAACTATAAAACCAAATCAATAATTTTCGAACATCCTGTATATTTGTAATTGTTAGTATAATAATTCAAAAACATTTTACAATTCTAGAAAATAGAGTACTCTTTTACTTTGGTTTAATCGTCATTTGTTATTGTATTCAGTCGGTTTTCTTATGTACTTGTTACTTCTTGAACGTTCTTCTTTCTTCTTACCCGTTTTTTACTGAACCCAATCTGAAGTCGTCGCGACTGTACGTGCGTGTTGAGGTCGTTTGGGTGCGTGACATCGGCTCACCTCGGAGTTGCTTGTATCTAAAGGAAAATAAACTAATTAATATAATAATAATAGAAATTTGTTCATTATTTCGTATAAACAGTCTTAACATACAGGTTGTTGTTTGTAGAGATATGGTAAATTTAATAAAGCTCTTAAAATAGACTTAAAATTACAAATCCAAAGTTTTATATAGTACATTAATATTTATACAAGCATTAATACAATACCGTTTTGGTGAAATACATATAATGCGTTGGTGGAACTTTGACCTTTAAATAAACCTATTATATTAATTTTAAACAATAATTAAAATATGTACAACGTAACTATTTATTAGAGCAGATCTCCATCTTATTATAAATATGTAAACATTCAAACATAAACTGAAAGCAAACGCCATTTATTTTCGTTAATCGGCAAGTCTAATAATCCTTTTATAAATTCCATGAAATATTAAAATAGAATATCTTCCTGAGATAAGAGTAATATAAGAATAATATTTAAATATTGGCTATCAGTAACTTCGCAATGCAGACAACATTTAAAAATCAGACAGATTTTTTTTTAGAAAGAGAGACAGAGATATTTCTGTTTATCTCTGGAAACAAATGTTTTAAGTCAATGCATTCAACAGTCACCTTTGTACCAACTTTAAATCATTTGTACAGACCATATGTTTAGAAATTTTTTCCAAGAGTAAGTTATTGCGTGTTAGAACGAAAGCCGAAAGCAGTCGTTAGATTCTTTTCAGTATACATAAAGGAAGTGTCTATAAAGTCATTAGCATGCGAAATTGTTATTCAATATCTAGAGAATTATTTTGTTATATTAGATGTTACTGTAAACCCAACCAGTGCACTGAAATATTGGTTGGTACCTCATCTTATATCCATATGGCGTATTAAGTTTTCACTTTCTTTCATATCATCGATTTTCTGCTTGAAGAAACAGTCAAGAAGTAGGAACTTTAAATTCTTCTTAATCTATTCCATTATTTTAAAGTAAATTTCATTACATTTTATAGTTTTGTATTTTTAATTTCATCTGTTGCGTTATCGTCGTCAAATACTGTTTTTATCGTTTCCATGCTACTCTTTTGCGTTTGATTATTTTTGTACATTCTTATTGGTATGGTTGTTCTGTAACTGAATTCTTGGCCGATCACATCGGATCTTGAATGTTTCCCCTTGGTCCTAATAATTAGGAAAAAATGTGCTATAATTCATATGTGTATAAATACTAGAATACTTCGTCAACGCAGAATAAAAAAGTAGGCTTTATATGGCCGCGTACATCAGCTACCTTCCCGTTAAAGTCTCCTCAAAATCGGTCCATTCGTTCCAGAGATTAACCGGAACAAATGTTTGCCTGCTTGCTTGTCTTGCGCACAGACGGACAAAAAATGTTAAATATTACCTCCTCATTATCAGAACATAAATACATCATGTGCACGATTTTTTTTTTTTTTCAATCATCATCATCATCAGCTCACTATACGTCCCCACCGAGGGGCTCGGAGTCTTCCCTAAGTTAGGGGTGACTAGGCCATAGTCAACCACGCTGGCCAAGTGCGGGTTGGTTGACTTCACACATATCTTTGAATTTCTTCTCAGATATGTGCAGGTTGCATCACAATGTTTTCCTTCACCGTAAGAATTTTTCAAAACTCCAATTTTAATAATTTTTACCTATAAATTACTATCCGAAAAGTTCAAGAATTCAATTATTTTGCTTAAGGAATACAGTAAAATGCATTATATAATACTAATCGTGGGTTTCTAAGCCCGTAAACCGTTTAAAATATATCTCTGTTTTGTTAAGATGACGATATTTTGTATATAGAGTTTTTGGTCTTAGAAAACCACGATAAAACATGTATAACATATAATTAGGAAATAAAAGCAGTAGGAAAATTAAGACACAATATTTACCGTAGACCAAAGCAGCGACATCTATATGAGATAATAAAAGTTATACATTACTCTGGGACAAACCTCTTCTTGATGAGTTGGAATATCTTCCGCTTACAGACGAAGATGATGAAGATGGTGACCCCAATGAGCAGGTTGTAGGCATCGGTGAACATCCAGAAGAAATCGGCGCCAGGATAGAGGGCGCTGATAACTTCCAGAATCCAGTTGATACCCATGACAGTAAAGAGTTTTACATACAACAGTAACCTGACAGAGAAGCAATTATTAGAATCAAAGCAAACATAAACATTACGTCAAGAAGTCTTTTAAAAAGTAGGAGAAATTAATTCCACTTGCATAACAAACGCTCGGGTTAGAATTAAAAATAGGCCAAGGTTATCAGACGGTGAATTATAAAAGCAGTCTTCTGTTATCGCTATTTTAATGACGGTTATTTTTTAACTGCCTAAGTATATAAACAGTTATATGTTTATAATAACGAACAGCTGTTGTAGCAAGCATAAATATTTCCTTTCTTCTCATTGGAAGATATTATAATACAAAAATCTTATGTTTGAAATTGATGGAAAGAAAAGCAGGGGACTTTCTGCAGCAAATAATGTTACAGTATTTAATGTTAAATTACATTTTGATAGAAAACTGTCCTCAAAAGGAATACTTGGGGGAAATTTCTCACCGTTGCTTATCCTTCCTGTGATGATCGTGCATTGCGCTCTCCTTGGAGTTGAGCACGGCTGTCTGCTGCTTGATGTCGGCTATCTTCATCGCTGTCATGACGAAGAAAACAATATTCGCGACGAACAGTATGAACATTGGCCCGTACAAGTACAAAAGTTTGCTTCTCCCTGGAAATAGAAGATTTAACTTATTATTTTTCAAGAAGAAAATATTTAGTCGAGTTTTTTATGTATGTCAAAACACTTTATCAAGTAAAAAGTAAAGTTTTTTGGGTATCCACAGTAAGAACGTGGACTGATAAAAAAAATGAATATATGTGTTGCCCTTTGCAGACCCACATGTTGTCATAGAGTATGTTGTGTAGAAATACTTAAGAAGTTTCATGAATTATATTAATTTCATTACGTACCGTGTATGAAGCAGCCCTGATACCTCAGCAATGGTAGAAGCGGATGCGGTTGAAGGCCGGAGAATTCAAGAGACGTCAATATTATTGTAAGAATAGTCGGTACCCCGAACGCGTACAATGAATATATACAAAATCTCTTGGACACTTTGCTCATCCCCATTCCACCTTTACCACTGAAATTAGATACATTTTTTTAATATTTATTTATTAAAGCTCTTAAAGAACTAAACAAATTTGAAAATCTTATCTTCTTTCGTAAAAATCTAAACCATTTATTATTCATACCATAGATTTATCGTTTAAAAAAAAAGGCGTGAAGTGGAAGCAATTTCACGTTTCATCTGAGGAGTGTGCGTCCTGGAAGCCAAATTTAGTCCTCTTTCCCTTCCCACCCTTTTTCTTATAAGGAAAGGATGGGAAGTGTAAGTGGACTTTCCGGGTGAGAGGATGCATGTGAAGGGAAAATATTTTTTTTCTATGCATCTTCACCTCCGTCGATTAAAGGTAGGCAATATATATGGAATTGCGAATGTCGATGGGCAATGGTCACTTCGCTATTTTAGCGATTTCAGGTGGCCGCTCGGTCGTTTGCCACCTTATGTTATAAAAAAAAACAATATTTAAATACAATTTTATTTAAAAAAGGAACATTACCTGAAAGTCCACCAAATATCAAAGCTCATGACGTTCAGCCAGAAGAAAGCGGATTCGAGGAAGTAGTAAATGATGATCGCTGCAATTCATGAAACAATTAATTTTATTATTAATAACTGAAGTAATTTTTTTTATAACAGAAGGGGCAAACGAGCAGCGGGAACACCAAGGTGTTCAACGACGTCCATGGACATCAGCAATACCAGAGGAACCGCAGATGCCTTACCGGCCTTTGAGATGGTGATAAGCTCGCTTCTTGAAGGACCCTAAGTCGTGACGGTTTGGAAATACCGCCGAGGACAGACAATTCCACAACGCTGCTGTGCGAGGCAGGAAGGTTAGCGCAACTAACGTCCCTCCGCAGCGCCATCTAATATGATTTTAGTCTCAGTGGAATATGTTCGGGCGAACGTTTTAAGCTTAATTATTTTAAGACTTAGCCGTCTACGGACGAGACCATGACGGTATTTAAGTTGGTAATCATTTCTTTTAGAAGTGATTTATTTAATTAGATGTATCATTAATTAGAAGACTTATTAGTATTGTCACATTGCAACAAAGGACCTATAATAAGAAGTTATTGCATATTAAAACGATAGTTTATGACTACTTCCTGTTACAAACTTAGTATATGAAAAACGCTGTTATAAAAATTATGATGCTATAAAACTCAGGCATGCATTATTGTCGGTAAGAATTCTGATTGTCTGATATAAAGTATTGGCCTACATAATATTTTATTGGAGCACTACAAAGTGTTATGGATAAAAGATATATGATAGCCGATTACTTATATCTTCTTATTATTATAAATGCAAATGTTTAGATGAATAGATGGATGTTTGTTTGCAGGTATCTCCAGAACGGTTGAACGGTTCCGGCTGAAATTTGGCGTGGTTTACGACAATAGTCGAATGGGGGGATTCGAACCCCCGACTTCGTCTTCGGTAATCCGTACCCTTAACCATTGGCGCTAACTGTTGCTTCTGTATTAACCAGTGTGTTACTTACTTAGAACGAGACACGTGTTGGGGGTGATGTTGTCGACTGTGAGCATAATTTGAAGGCTGGCCATGCAGATGAATCCACAGAAGAGACATAGCAGGTACGCCATGAGTACGCGGCCGTGCATGTTTCGTAGCTCTGGCAACCAAGCGTACACAGCAACCGTAGCGATAATGAACACACAAGAAATCAGCATACCTGTCAAATTAAAACAAGTGTTCCATTTATTAATGGCAAACAGCAATCTCATATGAAAGAAGAAAGAAGTATAGTATGTTATTCTTTCGGGACCCCTTGCCCCCTCTTTTGCGTATTATGTAATTAACGGACAACCCTCTGTAACTATGAACAAACAACATTTTGCTTGACACACTTGTAAAAATTAGTTCAGCTGGAAAACATTGTAAGTTGGGCTAAAAGTTTTAAATACATTACATGAGCTTCGAACTATGAAATTATCTTCAGGATTCTCATCTTCGAAGCAAGCCAAAGCATCGAGCCGTGATTTAGTGTTTCCATCCTCGTCTTCGTAAAGGAATGTGTCGATACAGTATTTGTCAGGTGACAGTACCGTCCATGGAGGAATGCTGGTAGGTAACTCCACGAATAACTTGCCGTCCTGAAACAAATCAATGTTTATTTTACTTAACAACATAATTTGTTTGACGTCATTGTGATGGAAAACTCAGAAAAACACAAGGCCGCTAAAAAATAACCTATCTCTTTCCACATATCCCTTTCACATTATTATTTCTTTTTACATTTTTAATAATAACCTAAATAAATTGTTAAAATGCCTAGATTTGGCTCGGCGAGGTTACCGCCATGTGGCGTATGAAATCGACTACCATTATTTCGATAGCGAAGAGCTTCGACCAACATCTCAAGAAGCTCTCGCTAAACAGTTGCATTAGGCCGATACAAAAGGCAGTTATCCTAGAAACCGCACGCATCGTGAGAAGGTTCCTGTCTCTGGAGCCCTTTTATTTTTTTTCAGAGGGGAATGCTTTATGCATACTCCGCGCCCCGGGGGGGACGCGGTAGTTATGTAGGATTCTCCTCCATAGCGGAGGCATACCCACTAAACCCCTCTGTTCCTCCAACGCATCGGGACGGGACCACGGGCACGCTTTCGCTCTCTACCGCGGCCCTGTTCTCTGCATCTCTGTCTCTGCAGCCCTGACCACTGGTTGTTTAAGTCATGGGATTCCGCAGCCGGTGGTGTTCTATTTTTAATATAATATATTTAGTTTAATTTTATATTTTTTTTATGAAACGTGCTATATTAAGAATACGATAAATAAATAAATACACCTAAATAATATGAAATAGTAAAACAATTTGCAGACTCTGAGATATGAAAAAAACACTTTTTAAGTGCACACATATACACAACATAATGTATATGCTTAAATACATATCTATATATACTCCATAATGAAAAGAGATGAGACTAACCTTTGGTTTCTGGGACTCTTTATTAACCTGAATAAACTTAAACGACTATATTTAATCTTTGACGTCATTGATGAGGGAAAACGTTATCGTATCTTTGTTCTTTGTTAATTAGAAATTAATGTATAAACGTATTAACCAAATAATATATAAACATTATCTCTGTCTTTCTCTTTAGGAAAATAGAGACTGCAATACAAGCCTCACGGTAGAAGACCACTACAGTAAAAACTCACAAGAATATCATAATCTTATAGCGTCTTGTGAAAAAAATAATATTTGAAGACGGTGCTTGGCCAATTTGACATTAGCATGTTAATAACCACGAGTGCTGTAAAGTGTACGAAAAAACCGTTAAAGTAAACAAATAAGACGTACTTATTTTGAGGCAATGAAAGATAATATTATATTAACCTAAAAGTAAAAAAAGAACTTATTTTTCTATAGTACGTCAAAGGAAAGTCCAATGAAATACGTGCATAATAGGTTTTAAATGACAATTTTCCCAGACAAAACTTAAGACTAGTACTACGATTAGCATGCATCAAACATGTAAATACAAAAGACAGTTAAAATATAGATTTGTACTTATATCTGTCGTTCCTCTCTTCAAACATAAATTAATATTAATCAAGTTAAAATATAAAATAAGAGGGTAAATCGTAAATTCGACACTTATGATAGTTTACATAGGAGCTATCAAATTGAAAGATGAAACTGATCCATGTGATGACAAATTATAATGACCATGACTTTAAAAACGTTGTGGTTAGGTAGGAAACGGTATTTCCTTTAATTCCACTATCCGTTAATTATGGCAGCGTCACAATAACTAGGTATTTGTTGAACTAGCTGTCGCTAGCGACTCCGTCCGCGCGGAATCATAAACACTTAATCAGTAGCCTATGTGTTCTTCTAGGCTATGTTTTACAGGGACGCTAAATTTCAGTGAGAAACATGCAGACGTTCTGGAGATATCTTCTGATGAACATTCCATACACATTTGCATTTTAATATTAGTTAGATAAAATTGTGTACTATGTTACTACTATTATAAATGCAAATGTTTCTACTAAAGTTTACAAATATAAGGAAAAAATTGTGGAAAATTAATTAAACTTTGGCAAAATTAAAGCACATTTCCTGCGGAGTTTTTCTGAAAATAAAAGACTATTCGCAAATCATTTTGATTTGCTTGGTTCATTATTATTTACCTTGGCCACAACGTTAAAAATCTAAACACTGAGAAAAACTTGTGAGACGTCATAGTCAATTGAAATTATCATTTTTCATTGCAATATTTTTTTAAATTCCATCTACGTAATAGCCTCGAAGATTTGTAATAATTCCACCAAAATGGACTTAATTGTGTAACGTTTTTGAAGTAAAATCAAACATCATCATCATCAGCTCACTATACGTCCCCACAGAGGAGCTCGGAGCCTACCTTAAGTTAAGGGTGATTAGGCCATAGTCGAAAAAAAAACAAACATATTCAAATATATTTAAAAGACAAGTGTTAGGAAGAAAATGCGACACTGTGCCGGTGTATCGGCGCAACACTAGTCTTATTAAAATGTCAACATTTATGTCCTCTCACTAATAAATCTGACATTTGACTTGGTAACAAAAGTGCGCCATTCGCTCTAAATGATTCTTACTAATAATATCCAAAATTAGTAATAAACAAGACGTTTAGAGCACTTTCCTTTAAATATTTTAGCGTACATTTGTTGTTCGAGTTTCCGACACCCCTAACAGTCACTACCGTCAGCGCCCAAAATGGCAAAAATCAAATAGGCACAAAATGTCATGGCTACGGCCTGTCCTGTGAAATTCTTGATCATTCTATTTGATTGTGGTATTCAGAGGCAAAATAAAAATAGAACATTGCGTAATCAAAGACCATTAGATAGATATAGATTACCAAAACAATAACTAGTAATTCACTAACTGGACTTCATTGAAGTTGATGTGACTGTGAATAGCCGTGACGTGTTGATAGGCATTGTTGTCTCTGTTTATTACAAATAAGATGAGAGGGATGACCATATCAATTTATACAAAATCTTCGACAGTCAACCCACGATTTTATTCGCATATTCACTACTGGGAAATCCAACTGAGACGTGAAGAAACTATTTAATAATAATAGCTTGTACTGAGGAAGCATTATCTTGCTTGTGAAGACATTTGACCTAACATTGTATTAACATGAAATTAAAAAGGAATCGTTTCTTTTTGCACCATTGATGAAACTGTGTTTTTCGCGGCTTTTGTGTGGTGGTAAGTATGTGGGTACATATAATTTAAAAAAAAGTTTAAATAAATTGGATACTTTGGGAGGAGTTTTCTTTAGTTAATTATTATTGACTTACTTATTAGAAAGTCATTGCAACTAATGTAAGTAAACTGACTTAAGTCATCAAATTGTAAGGGACATAGGATAATAACAGTACGAGGGTTAACGCATACTTGTCAACTTGCCAAGTCGGCACATCTCGATTCGCGATACCCGCAGCATCCACGCGTTCAAGGGAGAATAATGTGTTAATATTTTATTTAACCAGCTTCAAAAAGAAGAAGGTTGTCAATTCATTTGTATATATTTTTTTGTTATCCTGCTTAATCAACGGCGTTGAGGCGGCGGCGGCGGCGGTGCCGCGCCGGGTGGTCGAAGAGTGGAGCAATACGCGATAACCTTAAAGCACAGTGCGATTTTTTTATTTTTTATTCATATAATCTATTACTAGCTATCACTCGCGACTTCATCCGAGTGGATATATAAAAAAACTTAATTAGTGTAGCCCACCCATCCATCCATCCACATCACATGCATCTAAACATTCGCATTTATAATATTAGTAAGTTAAATAAATAGCAGCTTTTCAAGGTATGAATTAAAAAAAAATAAAACAAAATGAATAACTAGTATCCTATGTCCGTCTCCTGCCTCTAAGCTACCCCCTCACCAATTTTCAGGCATATCGGTAAGGCCGTTCTTGAGTTATAAATAGTGCAACTAACACGACTTTCTTTTGTTTATATAGAAGAAGATTACTAGCTATCACTCGCGACTTCGTCCGCGCGGGATTAGAAAATAGATGGTAGCAGATTCTCAGATCTACTGAATATGAATAAAAAAATCATGAAAATTGGTAAACCCGTATCGTAGGATTATGGTAATTAACATTGTGATACGAGAATTTTATATATAAGACATATATCTTTTTTTATTTTAGTTTAATTAAAATATAACATCCGTTCTTCGTTCACTTTTGTAGATAAAATGTTTAAGTTACCGAATAACTGACTCATAGTCGTTACGAAGAAATGAGCCGAGGTGTAAAACATTCACAAAAAGCAAAAACAAATACAGGATGTCCAACTAGTTTCATAGAATTATTATCAATCTTGTGCTAAAGATTATAAATAAACCAGCAGTTCTCCTGTATTTTGAATTGGAAGGATTCTAGTTCGATTTCCAAACCATTATTTTTTATCTATGACAAAACTCTAACGAGAATATATAATCTTACTTATAAATGCGAACATTTAGACGGATGTTTGTTTGAAGATAGATCGAGGCTAAACGAATCTCGATAAAATTTGGCACATATGTAGATCATAATGTGGAAGAACACGTAGGCTACTATTTTTTTTTAATTCCACAAGGACGGTGTGTCGGGCGGCAGCTAGTCGATTATGAAGACATAGTAATCTTTATAAAATATCAAGGTCTATCAAAAAAACCCAAGTTAGTAAGTAACAATAATACGAGTTTGTTTACAATAACTGATTGTTAAACTGTCTTATCTTTTGTTTTTATTATATTAATATTTAAATAAATTGCATTTAACCTTTTTTATTGACCTATACGAGGGCAAGGTTCTTACGCGTATATAAGAAGTATAGTGAAAGTCTACTACTGAAACCCTTCCTACTGTCTTTTTCTAATTTTCTAAATTAGATTTGGTAAAATTACTAATATTTTCTTCTACATATATTCCAATATGGTTTACGATAATAACCGAATAATGGGATTTGAACCCACGACCACGTACGCACCACAACATAGATGTCCGTACTCATAAGCCGTAGGCTATGGGCGTACATCGGCAGTATACGTCGAAGACGAAACGCAGAAACTGACAATGTTATTGAAAAGATAAAGCATTTTCTTTGCGTTGTTCTTGAGGTAAAATTTAGGTCAAATACTGTTAGAATTCTTTCTGTCAGTTGCCATTACTAAAAGCATTATTATGTTAATCTATAATAAATGAGATACAACCATGATAATTGAAGCAGGAATGACGTGTTAATAATATATTGTATACGATTGGTTTATAATTTTTCCGTGTAATAACATAAATAAATCTCGATCTTTTAATTGTCAGAAGCCAAATGACTTGTGTTTTTTTTATATCAGAAGTTGGCAAACGAGCGAGCGGTCACCAGAAATCGCTGAAATAGCGAAGTGACCGTTGCCCATAGATATCCGCAATTGCATATCATTTGCCTACCTTTAATCGACGGAGGAGAGGTTGCACAGAAAGAAAATATTTCCCCTTTCCATGCATCCTCTCATCCGGAATGTTCACTTCCACTTCCCATCCTTTCCTTATAAGAAAAGGGTGGGAAGGGAAAGAGGACTAAATTAGGCCTCCGGGACGCACACTCATCAGACGAAACGCGGAATTTTTTCTACTTCACGCCCGTCTTCTGTAAGGTTTTAAATTTTTCATGATATATTGATGTTCAATAATCTTATAGAAACACCAGCTATCGCCCGCGACTCCGTCTGTGCGTTATTAAAAAAAACTTATTTAGTATAACACATCCTAGACTATGTTCTTCATCTGTGCCATATTAAGAAATAGATAGTACCCGATTCTCAAATCTACTGAATGTGCATATAAAATGTCATTTTCTGTCAAGCCGTTTCGGGGGAGTATGGCGACACGAGAGTTTTATATGCAAGATAATTTCATGGATCAAAAACACAGTATAGATTATAAATTATATATTCAATGTATTTTGTTATTATTGAAAAGCAAGAATACAAAATTTAAACGCCTGTTTGAAATCATACCCGGAGACATACCACTTAACACATCGACTGCCACCGAGTCGTCAGAGTTCATGTTTACACGTAAAAATCGTACCGGCATTGTACATTTAAAATAAAATAAATGTAAGTATATCTTACCGATTTAAGATGCCAATTATCCGACCAATCTGTCTCTCCTAGCATAGAGACCATCACGGACACATAAGGCGGTGTACAGTTCATCTTTTGCATTTTAAAGCGGAACATCTCGCGGCCTTTCGCGCCCTTTATTACTCTATAGTCATCCCACACCGCCATGTCAAAATCATCCGTTACATTGACACAATAACTTCCATCCCTACCGTAGCCAAATGGACAGCATTTCCGTACAACTAACTTTGGGCAAGCGAACGCCGTTTTAGCACTCTTATTATAAAAATAATCCCCATTCTCGTAAATTACACCATCGAATTCAATATCACCATTGGGTAAATATTGCCCATCTGATATATCAATTTTCTCTTTACATTCCTTTAACACAGCACGTGTTACAGCAATTAAAGATATAATTATCACTAATATTTTCGACATGTCCACACTATTTAATTATCTACGTTATATAAAATACTTTTAATGTTTATCTTATAAACATCTCGATTAGCACGGAACACGTCTGATCGCAACGGCAACAAGCCGCGACTGTTGAAGTTGTTTCGAGTTTGACGATCACCGGTTACTCAATGAGGGAATTCCGTACCCACACTAATGAATCTCAGGTAGTTTAATAAAAAATTAACACAACACAAGCTTCGCAACAAACCTCCTTCTCAACATAAAACATATAATCAACACGAAACTTTTATATCTCGTTTACAAATAAAACTAACTTTAATTTAATTGTATACCAATGATATTTCTTTCAATTTATCTAGAATATTCTATCATAAGCAATTAATAAACGTAAAAACAATTTTTTGTCACATTTTAAATCCAACTATTCAAATTATAAAAATATTTTTCTTATTTTGCTCGTTCGAGTCAATTGGCTGCGAAACTGGTTTTGTTGATATTAAAGTAACATAGAATAGATACGCGATTATAAAGAACAACCGCTGTTGAAGTTTTATAATAATATATTAATTAAAACGTTGAGTTAATAAACACGAGATGAGATATATAAGCAAGTCTTATGTTTACATTCTATCGAATAAAAGAAATATTGCAAAAATTTTACGATACACTTTTAAATGACCCAACAACTACAGATAAATAATAAATAACAGTTATTAACTGTTATAAAGACTATACTATAAGAATATTCGAATTACAAAAACGCGAACGACGCGACGGTATCAATGTCCAAATTGAAACTGCCAGTTCTGGTAATTAAGGCAGCCATTTTATTCAATACCATCTAACTAGAATTGCGCATTAAAAAATGATTGGTGTTTAATCAATATTTAATTCAAGTTTGAGTTAACAAAGTTAGTAATTAAGATATAACTTATAATTCAATTCCGACTTGTTTTTATCAAGCAAGAGGTGAATAAACTAATTACGACTAAGTTTGCAAGAAAGAAACTAAAGAGCATCTAGAAATGTTGTAAATTTCACTTTCCGTAGAATCAGCTTTGTGTGAAAATTGGGAGATGAAGTGATTTTAACATTTTTAACAATGTTTAAATACTTAACACATTTTTCGTTAAACGATGCAATAAGGCACGCGATCATTGGCCAGAGCCGGACGCACCGCACGCACGGCCAACAACATTTAAGTTTGATTTATATGATTTTACGTAGCAAAATCATCGGCGCCGCCCGCATCGCATCACGACAAAACAAATCCGTACAGTCCGTATGTGCGGTGCGTCCAGCGCGGGCCCATGGACGCGTAGATTTAAAACTTCAAGGTAACTGTAATATGAATATTCTTAAGTCTCTTAAGTTGTAAGTAATAGATACGTCATACCACATAAAATAAACTTTGGTTATCTTACCAAAAAATATATTATCATCCCTCTCAATCTTATTAAAAATAGAGAGACAACAATATATTTCAATAGAAGTGCCATATCAGTGGAATTTTACGGTAACATCATTATGTAAGTATGTCTGCAGACAGAATCATAACGAAATTAACATTATATTTTGGTTTGACGGATTTTTAATGAGGCGATTATTTTGCGACACATGCAGTCAGTAATGTATGAGGTTATCAAGGTTAAGAGCCATCAAATTTCATTGTCTTATCGGAATTATGATGGATAGGTATCATAAACGTGGTAGTCAAATATTTTTAAAGTACTAGCTGTTGCACGCTACTCCGTCCGCGCGAAATAAAAAAAAACACTTTATTAGTAGCATATGCGTTCTTGCAGATTATGTTCTACATCCATGACAAATTTCATCGAGATCCATGCAGCCGTTCTGGAGATACTTTCTAACATCCATACATCTAAACATTCACATTTTTAATACGAGTAAGATAGACTTACAGACTTATATGACCCGGTGGGCAAACTAAAACTAAATTACATACAATAGCTCATTAACGTGTCCCCTTTCAATGTCAGAAAAAAATCACAATACCATGTCCTAATATTCGTTCCTTTTGTTTTTTCTTCTATGTTGTTTTCCATGGCTATGTATGCTTTATGTATTTACTTACAGGACTAAGAGATCGTATAATACATTAATCAAATGAGGTGAAAATGGGGGGGTTTAGGAAATCACGAAACATCACGGGTAGGCGGTTCTAACACAGTTAAAGAAGTTTGAATATTCGTAATCATTACGAAATTATTGGTTGTTATGTTTATTGACCTATCCTATTTCTGTAAAATTCACTATCAAGATGTTAACTGTGAATATATGTTTTAAGTTACATCTATGCTTTTCATAAGCGATTTATTAAAAAATATCATCATCATCATCAGCTCACTATACGTCCCCACCGAGGGGCTCGGAGCCTACCCTAAATTAAGGGTGATTAGGCCATAGTCAACCATGCTGCCCAATAAATGTTGGTTGACTTCAAATATATCTTTTGAATTTCTTCTCAGATATATGCAGGTTGCATCACGATGTTTTCCTTCACCGTAAGAACGTCGAAAAAAAGTACATATGTTAATCGGAAAATAAAAAACACATTGGTATAAGACGGGAATCGAACCCAGGACCCGCAGATTGCAAATCAAGTGCTTGGCCCCTGAGCCACCGACGCTCTCTATTAAAAATATATATTCATCATATTATGAAAAGTAGTTAATTACCTATTAAATTCTAGAACTTTTAAAAGAAAAATAATATCTCTAAAACTATTCTTTGAAACCACGTTCAAATGAAGGAAAAGTTGACGCATTTACCAAACCGGTATAACAGGGAAAGCTGTTCTAAGTATTGAGGCATGTTATTTTTAAATAAATTACAGAAGCGAGTTCTAAAACTGTGCACACTTAAGTATATATACGTTAGGATTAATCTCACTAATATTATAAATGCGAATGTTTGGATGTTTGTTAGAAGGTATCTCCAGAACGGCTGCATGAATCTTGCTGATTTTTTTTTGACTCAGTGGTCACTGTTTGCATTTACAGCTTCGTTTGGCTGAAATTTATCATAGATGTAGAACAAAGTTTGTTTTAGAACAACGAAAACATAGGTTACTAAACAAGTTTTAGTGAACGCACACGCGGGCGAAAGCTAGTTAAAAAAGGGAAAATATATTCCGTCTTAGACAACTAGCTAAAACGACAAGTATTATAATCACGATAGTTAAACTAAACTATCATCATTGTTAGTTAGCCAAATTATTAGGTGCATTATTAGTTTCGATACCATCGGAATCTATTCTTTAGAGTGAGTAGGACTGAAATTATTTCGCGATCGCGCCCCCTGTCTCATTGGCGTCCTTTTATATTAAGACTACCTATCGCCCACGACTCCGTCCGCACGAAATTAAAAAAATACTTACTAAGGAACCTATGTGTTCTTAAGACTTTGTTTTACATTTATGCCAAATTTCAACGAGATCCGTTCGACCGTTCCGGAGATACCTTCAAATAAACATCCATCTATCCATCTAAGCATTCGCATTTATAATATTATAAGTAAGATATTCGCGAAAGTTTAAATAATATAACTGTAGTTGTAATTTTATTGAAACATCAACATAATACGCTCTTGCCAAATGAATAACACATGTTATAGACTGAACAAAGATAAAGAAGATACTGGAAGATGCTATTCAACGGGTTGTTTATAAATAACAAGTAGTAAATATAGTTTATGTGACAATTGAACTTACTAATATGAACGTGATTAAGAGTGTAAGTTTCAAATCATCATCAGCTCACGATACGTCCCCACCCTACCCTAAGTTATAGTCAACCATACTGGGCCAGTGTGGGTTGGTTGGCTTCACACATATCTTCGCAGATATGTGCAGGTTGCATCACGATGTTTTCCTTCACGTTAAAGTTTCACATGCCGAAGCATATACACTTTGTTTTTACTTTCATTCTCTTTGAATAGTAGATTTAAGTGCTTGTTTACAATGAACGCGCGGGAGCGGACGCGGGTGTGTGCCGTGCCGCACATGCCTTTCCTAAGTGAACACTTGAATGTGTCATCATAACATATACATAAATCGGGACCGCCTCCGCGTTCGTGAGACAATGTGAACATACACTATCAATGTACTTTTGTAATTTTGTTTCTACGTAGGTTATTTTAATCGCTTAATAGATAACAATCCTTTGCATCAGACAGTAAAACGAAATATCAATCGTCATCATAATCAACGTCAATTAAAAACACAAATTAAAAATAAGATTTCCAATGGATTTTGTTATTACGGACGTAAGCAACAAAATTACGTACGATAATTACTTACAGGTTTTTGCGTCACTACATTGTGTGCGGTTAAATATTCGAACCTTGAATATCAAACCTGTCTCTCTTATTTGTAGACTGCATTGAAAGTTAAACAGACGACAGTCGATTGAGAATTACTTTCTGAACCATTCCTTATCCCTAATATTAAAATATACTAAGAATTAATGATGTTTATTAAACATAGTTAATGAATTATACGTCCCCACTGAGGCGCTAGGAGCTGTAGTCAACCACTCTGGTGCAATTTGATTTGGTCGGATAAATGTATATATGTAAATCGAATAACATATTTATACATAGGCTGTGCGCCATCTACGTTCGGCCACCTCAAGTCTGGTGAAGCTGTAAATGCCTCTTCAAAGCAAACAGTGACTACTCAGTCACAAAAACACCACAGGACCTGCCGACCAATTCAAGTGCTAAACCCCCATGCCACTGATTTTTTTAGAGATTAATAAATTATTTTTTTTGATTCTGTTGAGCTTCTTATATATTTGGAACAGACTTAAAACACCGATGACAATATTTTTGTACAGAATTTTATTTTAGACGATAGTATAACAAGGATCAATTTGTCCCGTCGCGTCGTCCATTGATTCACTTAACCGTTATTAGATGAATTGTTATTGGCGTTGTGTGACTACGAATAACCAGAATTAAAGGTGAAGTAAAGTCCCAAACGGAAAATATCTTAGTCACATCGAAATTATACGTCTTATTGATATATTAAAATATAAATTCTGTTACGTGATTAAATGCACGTCTCTTTCCTTTTTTTAATTTTTACTAAGTTATTAAGACAAATGTCTTTTCTCACATCCACACTTATGTTTAATTACAGTCCCTTAGTGTAGACTTCTCACAGTGAATCTACACTAGGTAATATTTCTTAACAAGTGAAAAACTCTGAGTGTTGCT